AATTAGACATAGAAAATGTGGGGTATTTGGAGTATACAAATGCTTTAACTTTTAAATTGAAGCTACGAAAATTCAAGGATTTGGTGAAAGTTAAAACAGCACAATTTATGTTTAAAGCTAGAAATAAATTACCTCCGAAATGCATTCAAGCTTTTTGAAGAAAGACAAGGGTCATATAATCTGAGAAAATAACATTTTTGGGAGGTTAAAAACAAGTACAACTTTAAAAAGAGGCAAAATATGAAAATGTATTCGTTAAAAACATAATTAGAATTACATAATAGACAATATAATTTATAGAAACTTAAAGGTATTTATTGAGGCACCCCAGATTCTAAGCGTTTGCTTACCATGCATATTTGTTAAATCCACCCCTGGGTATATAGTAAAAATAGGTGTATTTTTATCTTTAATTGACATTTAAACAAAGTTTAAAGAACAACACGAGAAGTTATTTGTTTTATTACAAAAATACCATATGCATACGAACATGTGGGCTCTTTACAAAACAAATGTCTTACATTTAATGACATGTCTTACATTAAGTGACATTGAATTATACATAAACCTCTTGTCCTTGTGGCACTAAATAGAAAATACTAAAACTTAAAATAAGGAAACATTCATGTTCCCTCTTCACTGGCATTTCAATATGTTCAATTTATTAAACTAAAAAATTAACTTGTTTGATAGACCTTTAAAAAAGCTCATTTGAAGGTCACAGGATCAAGACGGACTGAAGGTTTTAAAGGAGTGTGTGCTGCACATCTGCATTTACTCAAATGTTTTAAAAGGTTAAAACCCTGGATTGGAAGGACATCGCTTATATCCTTCCACGCATGTGCAAAATCCTTTAAAGCAGTGCTACCCATTGATTTGATATCAGCAGTCCTCAAATGCACTGGCCATCTACAGTACATGTAAATAACTTTTTATCTGAAAAAGGTGAATTAATGGACACCATGCATTTTGCTTATCGAGCAGCCCTACGCTGGATAAAGTCCACTCGCCTGGCTTTAATACAGTCCGACATTAAAGTACCTACTGCGTGATGTAAATGTCAACAGCAGGTTGGTCCTTTGCATCAAAGCGCTGCTTCAGCAAGTTGGTATGAAGAGCACCTCATCCGACTGGTGTTCCTCAGGATGTGTGCTACTGTAGCTCCCCTGTTATATCATGTTAATATGTAGCAGTGTAACAACAGCGACCTGCTCCTTTCAAGTATGTTGATGATACAGCTTTGGTTGCTTGCCAAGATGATGTAAATAGTCTATTTCCAGCATGTTGACAGCCGTGTCTCTTGGTTTGATAACAGCTCCCTACACGTTAATATCACCAAGATGAAGGAGCCATGATTAGAAAGTTATGCTCCAACTGGCAGAACAGGATGTGAAGCAGGTCACCGGCTTGAAATATCTGTGTACTATAATAGACAGAACCTGTAACTTTCAGAGCAACACTGAGAACATCCACAAGAAACCAGCGGAAGATGAACATGTTGAAAAATCTCTAGAGATTGACATCTAAATCCTGATTAAACTTTGCAATGAGGATCAATTTATTAACATCAGGAAAATAAGTGTTTAAGATGAATTTCTAATAAACTTGAATTATTTAAGTTACTTAAATTAACATAATTTGATATATCATGGACTAAAATGTATTTTATTTAAACAATGGTATGCCTATAAATGAACTTTAAACAATAGTTACTGCCGTAAAAGTATTGTTCATTGTTAGTTTATTGTATTACTTATCATTTAGCATTTGAAGAGTTCAGATGCAAAAACCTCTAAGTGTCTTCTGAAATTTTCATTGAAAATTTTTCTCAGTATTTCTTGTTTATGTTGAGATTTTTCACTTTAAAGCCCAGTAAAATGACCTATTCTCTGCCATAAAAGTGATATTACAGAACATAGACCGCATTTAGAGGTTTTTGCATTTAAACTCTTCATTTAATAATCCTGGTGTTGTTCTAATGCTGTGTGCACTTCTTTCTTTTTCAGACCACATTTAAAATAATCCTGCACACTGACAAGCAGGAATGGGCAATACAATGAGATATCCAGTTAAAATCACAATTATTGAACCCCCAATAACTTGCCTTATTACCCTAACCTGCCAAGTTAACCTAATTAACCTAGTTAAGCCTTTAAATGTGACTTTAAGCTGCATAGAAGTGTCTTGAAAAATGTCTAGTAAAATATTATTTACTGTCATCATGACAAAGATAAAATAAGTCAGTTATTAGAAATGAGTTATTGAAACTATTATGTTTAGAAATTGGCCTCTGCTCTCTGTTAAACAGAAATTGGGGAAAAAATAGACAGGGGGGCTAATAATTCAGGGGGGCTAATATTTCTGACTTCAACTGTATATCGTATGGATGAAATAAAAGGTAGATTGTTTCATTTAATTCTCTATTTCTACTTTTGTGGCGTCATAAATATTTTTACGGTATCAAAATCTTACACGCCACCATGGGGATGCAGGCAGAAATGTGAATAACAGCATGGTGAGAAAGTTGCAAGCTTGAAAGTTCATTCATTCACTCATTTTCTATTTTGGGTTAGTCCCTTTTTATTAATCCAGGGTCGCCACAGCGAATAAACCGCCAACTGATCCAGCACATGTTTTACGCAGCGGATGCCCTTCCAGCTGCAACCCATTTCTGGGGAACATCTATACACACACATTCACACTCATACAATTTGGACAATTTAACCTACTTAATTCACCTGTACCGCATGTCTTTGGACTGTAGGGGAAACCGGAGCACCCGGAGGAACACAGGGAGAACATGCAAACTCCACAAAGAAGTGCCAACTGACCCAGCTGAGGCTCGAACCTTCTTGCTGTGAGGTGACAGCACTACCTACTGCGCCACTGCATCGCCAAGCATGACATATGTTTTAATTCCCCCCCCTGCTGCTAAGACAAAAAAAGAAAATTAAAGAATGCTGTGAGGATGTGCAGCTGATTAAAGCTTGTCTATAGTGCCGATTTGGTTTAGTCAATTTACTTATGTCGCATGTGTTTTTTTTATTGTGGAAGGAAACTGGAGAGCCTGTGGGAAACCCACGCGAGCACCGGGAGAACTTGGACTCCACACAGAAATGTCAACTGGCCGGGTAAAGACCCAAACCAGGGGCATTCTTGCTGTGAGGCAACAGTGCTAAACAGTACTAGTGACTAAAGTAAGACACTTTGGTTATTTATAATAATAGGAATCGTCTATGTTATTTGAGAATCACACGTTAGCTAATGCGGGACCAGCTGTGTCAATCATAAGCACAGGATCCTCTCGAAAAGAAATTTCCATGGGGTCAATATGAAAAGTTAGTTTGCAAAAACAGATAACCAAGTTTTTTCTCTCTTCAATACTCAATGTAAAGATTTCTGATTTCTGAAACTAAAAAGCTCAGTTTTTTTGGGAACTTACATAAATAATTTTTATTTCAACTGTACTCTTTAATGCACAGCATAAATAAATGATATATGACAATAACAAAAAAATGGAGGAATCCGTTTTCACAAATAAACTTGTCATATTCATAACTCTTGATGGTCCGAATTTATAGAGAATGTACAATATCACAATGTATACACTTATCAAGATATGAAAAGACCTTATATTATCATCTTATATAATCATATAAGAGTTTTGTCATATTACTACAGTGTTCAGAATATATATGTACACCCCTCACAAATCTATCTTTTAAATTCATATTTTTAATAGGAAGCTATACAATATTATATTATTATATTATATTTGTGCATTAGTCAGTACTGAAGCCAAATCTGGAGCTTATCTAACAAAATAACTTACGACAACGGTCCAAAAACGAGTACACCCAAATTGATATGTTATAGAAAAATATTAAATACAAATTTAAAAATAGAGGGAAAATTAAGAGAACAATAAAATTGAAAAAATTTAGTTGAAATTTTGTAGGTTGTATTTTGTTTTTTGCTATATTTTGCTTGAATTTAATAGTATTACATTTCTATTTCTAAATCTGTTAGGTGACTAAAATATTATTTTAATAAATATATCTGTTTAATAAATCTGTTTTGCTCAAATGCACCAAAATACATTGCCTATAATCACTGAGAAATGGATCAAAATATTCCTTTTCAAAATGGGGAGTACTCAATTATGCTCTGTATGTTGCCATACAGCATTAATCTTTCCTAAAATACCACAGAAGCAAACCCAAATGTAATGTATTAATTAAAAATATTGACCACTGCTCTTTGTAAATGATGATCAGGTTGGATAAAATGTGACAAACTACAGTCTAAGTCCAGATTTCTTGGTGTTATATTCTAAAAATCTTGATTTCTCACATCTCGTCTGTTTTTTATAGAGTGAACTGCAATGCTAATGAAGACTCATTAACTCACAGTCATGCATGAAGACAAACGGTCAAGGTCAGGATTTTGGTTAGAATTATAAGATAATTTTTCTTTGTTTTTAATAAAACACTATTGCAGACCATCAGAACATTTGTAATATGCGAGTATCTTTTTGTTAAAGCTTGATGTTGGTTTACAGCCAACATAAACAGCATTAGAACCACACTAGGGTGAGAACATGGATTTTCCTTTAAGCATTGTTTTCCTTATGATCAGTGATTATGAATGTGTATGATTCATGTTAAATATTATTTAATGATGCTTATACATGCTTCAGGTCACTTTTAAAGACAATTTTTCATTTTATAACAACTGGAAAGTTTAAAATAATCATTTTTATACATCAAGAAGTCATATAGTCTGTTTAGAAATATAGAAATAAGTGCATATATTAGATCTCTCACTGTCTTTTATTTAAAAATTATAACTTATATTTAAATGATAGCATTAGCATTAAAATTATTAAATGATAGCCTTTTTGATATGCATAATGGGGATAATCATTTTTAACTAATCTAAAACCTTGTGTTCAGTTCTCAAATATAACACTTTTTCAATGATGCACACACACACGCACGCACACACAAAAGTTCACCGACCAGCTTATAGTGGTTTGTGACTTTACTGTACACAGTGAGAAACAATATAAAAAGAAAAATGATTGTGCCTCTAGAGAGATCACACATCTCTCTGTGATAGCTGTTGTTCATAATACAGTAAATATTCAAATCAGGATACACAACTAGTCTCTATGCATACTCAAGAGGTAAACATTCATACATAATTCTAATTATTTTATAAACAACTTTTTTTTGCAACTGAATTTCGAAAAAAAAAGAGAGAAAGAAAATAGGAGAAAAGAAATTACAGGAATAGTTTCAGATTTTTTTTTTTTTACAGTTAGACCTCTTTTTTTTCTTCTTTTCTTTTTTACTGTCAAACCTCTTGATTTCTGATTCTAGCTTTGTGTTTTTCCCCCTTAGAGTCAGTACATGCTGCCATAAGCGAAAACCCCTACATCAGGAAACCTCTAGACAAGATAACAACAAATATATGTTGACTTTGGGCATTTATTAAATCATATGGTATGTATTCAAGCGGAGTTATTTGAGACTCTATACTAGGATGCGAGTATACAGGCCCGTGTTCCTCTGTGAAACATGCCAGCATGTATCTGAGTTACACAGCAGCTAGAGGAGAAAAAGACAAGCATGTAACCAGTGAGTTCAGATGTCACACTGAGAGCTAACAGATTAGAAACGTGAAAGAAGGTGAAAAGGTCTGTCTGCGGATCAAAAGTCCTAGACTACAAACATAAATAAAAAAAGAAAGATACAAAACCAAAAATGCAGTTGATTATTGTTTCAGAAGTGAACATAAAATGCCTCCTTTTCTCCATAGATGAGAACAATGTAGCAAACTGTATAAAATACCCAAATTCACAAATAAGAGAGTCTTCAGTCCCATTGTCCCAATGACCCTGTGGTATTAGAGAGAAACAGCACTCTTCTGATATAAAAATAGATTTCTCGTCATTTAAAATCCCCTTAATATTCGAGAAAGGGTGCTGCTCCTCTTGTGAAAGAAGACAGCACCGTTCTCTGATCATCTCGGTCGACCCCTTTAGGCTTTCGTATATTTTGCATAATTTGTAATATATATTTCCTTCTTGAAAATTTTTCGCGATTTGAAACCATAAATACATACCTTACATCGGACAACGGAAAGAGGGACAGAACAAAACGCAGTAGCTTCCGAGCAAAAACGACAGTAGCTAAAATCAAACGAGGAATATTTCAGTCCATTTCCAAAGAAGGTAGGAAACAAAAATCTCAATCGAATGTCCATGTCAAACCCAACGAAAAAATAAAAGAGGAAAAAGGGACAAAAACCAAAGCGTCAAGCGTTTAACGAGTAAAAATAGATGGCGTGATCAAACCCAACATGGAGACAGGAAGACAGCGGTGCTACAAATATAACGCTAACATCTACACGAGACCCTGTATACCTCCATGTGGTGTGGCTTCATATGCTCAGTTCACACCCACAGATTCGGCACCACGTCGTCCCACGCCGCCCCAAAAGTAGACTCGCACCTTCAAGACCCACTTAGTGTGGACAGAACGATCATTCTGCTGACAGGAACCCACTAACCTCATTGTGTCCTGTGCTGTTTGCCAGCTTATTCAGTCTCCTGTGTGTCTCAAACTGGTTTGGATCTCTACCAGATGACGCTGGAGATGCTGGTCTCTCGGGGCAGCAGCGGGAGCATGGCGTTGTTGCCGTGGTGCTCGTCCAGGCTGTGCTGGCGCAGGGTCTTGTTGTTGACGGGCCGCTGGCCGTTCAGGAGAGTGAGGGGCAGGTTGCAGTAGGTGTGCTGGGGTGGCAGTGTGCCTCCGGCCGTGAAGGGCAGCTCGTAGTCATAGCTGCGGTAGTGCGAGTGTTTCTGCCTGGCCAGCGAATGCGAGCGGTATGAGCTCCGCAGGGATGGGCGCAGCTCCGGGTGAGCCGGTGCCAAGGCGGCGGATGTAGCCGTGGCCATTGAGATAGCGGAGACGGTCTGCAGGTCAGCAAAGGGGCCGGGTTCACTGGTGTCCAGCGCATGGTTGGTGATGGTTTGCTGTGGACGGCGGTAGGGCATGGTGTAGCGGAGCTGCTTCCAGAAGCGAGAGCCGGGCTTGTTGCTCTGCGGGCCGTTCCAGTGCACCACACTCAAGCATTTAATGGATTGTTTTAACTCTTCCACCTCCTGGTAGTTAATGACTCCTCGCAGATCGGCACACTCAATTAAGATCACTTTAATGTCCCCTGAAACCAGAGAGTTGCGCAGACGGGACTCCAGCTCAAATATACTCCATCCGCGACGCAGCACGTAGCTCGGGGTCAGAACGATGATCAGCCGTTTACTCATGTCTACGCAGCGGGACACGTCCTCTATGTAAGCTGCGCGACAGACAAAGAAAGAAAGGCAGAAGGAATGAAAGTGGAATAACCAAATAACAGATGGGCTCACAACTGAAAAAAGTGATGCAGGGTTAAAGACGAACGCACACTGAAGACACAACAACCACAGTCATTCATGAACAACAATCTGCATGCACAATGTATGCGTGTTGTGTGCACCGCACATGTGTGCACGCGTGTTTTTGCAGTCAATCAAAGCTGTACCTCTAAGAAGATGTGTGTCATCCTGGTAATGTTGACTGCTCATACCTGGACATAAACATTCAGCTTTCAGACACAGCATACGTACAGGGCAAAAACACCTGGCATATGACGCAAACAAACATACAGTGTCACATAAACTGATCATTATGGAAAGATATTTTATCGCATTACTGAAGCCAACATTTAGAAATATTAAAACGCTTAGTTCACCCAAGAGTGAAAATTGTTATTTACTGCACTCACATAGTTTTTGTTCGAGCAACAATTATAAAAAATCGCCCCGGGGCAAAATTGCTCTTAGAGAGACATATTTAATGCTATGTTTTTATGTTTACATTCACGTTTAAGTGCTTTACCAGAGTAAAATATAAGAAAATAAGCATCTATAAAATACAATAAAACTATACATACAAATATTATTATTTAAAACATTATATGCTTATAGTCTTTGGACTTATATAAAATATAAACAGTGGCAAATAGGACATTTTGTTATTATTGTTGTCGTTTGGGGGAACTGTAATGTTTATTTCATTCATGAGTTTTTTTTTTTTACATTTTAAATTATTTAAAAATGAATGAGAAATTAATTACAAAATAGTTCTGTAATGAATCATTTTTAATTAGGAAAACATTGGTAAAAGCATACTTTTGTTGGTATATGCTGTCAATTATAATACAGAGAAAATGGAATTTGCAAAAATCAGTATCGGCTAGTCACACCAATATATTCCACATTGGAATTGCCAAGAAAATGACAATAGTTGCATCTCTAGCCATAAGAAATTTGTAAGAAAGTTTTTCTCCAAGCAAATTAGATATGCATTTTTGAAACACAAATAAAAATATTTTTAAACAAATCTGAGAAATGTCTTTACCTCCATTGAAAGTCTATTGACACAAAACGAGAAGAAAAACCAAATCCATATGAATCAAGTGTATTACTTCTGAAGGGTCTAAAATCAAATAAAAAGTGCTCAGGGGTAGCTTAAATAATATGTCAGTGCTTTTTGGGGTAAGGGATTCATCAGAATAAAGAGCAAAAATCAGTCCAAGGCACTTTATTTTAAAAGCCTTTTAAAATATTTTTTCCACATTTTTCAAAAGCCTTGTACTGATTTTTGCTGTTTCTTCTGAAGGGTTGTTTCACAGGATGAACAAATATAATTTGGGCTTCCATTCATATATACACCCCTCTGCCATCCAATGCCCCCTCATTGGTTCTCAAGCATCAAGCAAGCATGTTTAGGCTCCTGTGCCCATATATGGATGCATTAAACATTGTTCACTGATTAATGTTTATTAAGTGAATAAAAGCTTAAATTAAATCTGTTCATGATGTAAAGTGATTGTGTCTCTTCAAAAAACTTACCTGGTCTTTAGATCAATTTGAAGAATTCATATGGATTCATATTTTTCAATCTCTTCATGAATGTTTTGAAGCGAGTTTTGGATGAGATAATTTTTTTTATGGGTTTGAAATGCTATCAGGATAAACAATAGCATCATTTTCATTTTGGGGTGAACTAACCTCAGTGATCTTTTATGTATTGTTTTACACAAAGTTTTAGACTTTATCAAAAGTTTCAAAAACAACTAAAGCTATTTGTTTTTTTAACCAAGCTGATTTCTAGTCAACATACGGCATTCTGTTCATATTAATTCTGACAAGAGACTTTAATTAGACGTAATTACAAATGATTAAATTAGTTGACAGAATTAGCAAGCACAGTAAATCCAGCGCTGCTATCGTGTTTATGAGCTGAAAATGTCACACTTCATTATGAACGATCTAGAAGTTTTTATTAGTTCAGTACAGTTGGTGTTGGTTGTCAATTCTGCATCTACACAACTTTCCTTTGTGATCGGTGTAGGTTTCTGCTGCTAAAACTTAATTTCTCTGATTATTTCTGAAACTTCTGTGAATATCTGGCTTGTGAAAATGTTTTATACATTTAAGACAACACTTACAAACACACTAACAGAGACATACATGCATTCACGTAAAACATTCTGCACGTACTGCTTGTAGGAATTAGATCTCGGTCAGGAATGAAGAGTTTGTATCCGTAATGTTTTTCCAGGACATCCGGCAGGATCTCCAGAGCAAATCGCTCCTCCTCCTGTAACTCTTGACCCCACTGATCCAGCTCCACTTTACTGTAGGACAGGTACGCGTCATACTCTTTATTATCTGAGGAAAGAAAGAAAGAAAGAAAGAAAGAAAGAAAGAAAGAGAGAAAGAAAGAAAGAATGAAAGAAAGAAAGAGAAAGAAGAAATTAATTAAGTACAGGCCAAGTGAACAAATTAAGACCAAAAGAAAAACTAATTAAAACATTTACAATTGAATAAACATTAAAGAACAAAAAACAAAACAAAACACAACAACAAAGGATGAAAAAGACAGAATACGTGAATTGAATAATAAATAAAAAACAAGAATATATAAATAAAAGAAACAAACATAATTAAATAATGAAGAAAAATAAACAAATAAAGGAATCAACAACAGCAAAAGAATAAACAAATGATCAATTTAACAAATTAAGGAATTACAAAGAGAGAACAGGCCAAATTAACAAATAAAGACCAAAAGAAAAACAAACAAACAAAACAAAAAATGACAACAAACAAGACAAAAGACACCAAACAAGACAATACACAATACATATAACAAAGATTTTTTTTTAAAAGAGTCAACAACAAACAATGACAAATGGCAGACCAAATAACAAATTAAAGCATTAACAAATTAATTAACATATAAGAATGAATTAAAAGAAAGATTACGTGAATTGACTAAATAAAAAAACAAGAATTTGAAAAAAAAAGATACAAACAAGACAGACAGAAAGAAATGACACAGGTTAATAGTGTATTTAAAGTATATTTACATGCTTCTGATGAAGAAGAGGGTTACACATTATTTACACTTTTTTTCTTGTTACAATGTAACTATTATTTATACAGTCACTATTTTATAACCAAATTGTACTTAGAATTAATGTCCGCATTAGGCTTTGGTTATATACATATCTAACTTGTAACGATGTTCAGAGACGAACATGTAATTCTTGCAGCGTTATGCTCAGCAAGTCCTGTGTGCAGCGTTTACCTCCGTCTGTATCCTCTCCTCCGAAGTGATGCCTGTAGCACAGCAGCAGCTCAATCCTGTAGCATTTATACACAGACAATAACAACGCCAACAGCAGGAGAATCGCACCCAGCCCGCCGGCCAGCTCCACAGTGTACATCAGCTCCACTGAGAGACAAAATGGACACAGAGAGACTTGTCTGAATTTGATTAACATTAGCTTAGCATCTCTTTAGTGTGTGAAAAATGGTGTGGTTAAGGCAATAGTGCTGGGATAAGATAGATAGATAGATAAATAGATAGATAGATAGATAGATAGATAGATAGATGGATGGATGGATGGATGGATGGATGGATGGATGGATGGATGGATGGATGGATGGATGGATGGATGGATGGATGGATGGATGGATGGATGGATGGATGGATGGATGGATGGATGGATGGATAGATAGATAGATAGATAGATAGATAGATAGATAGATAGATAGATAGATAGATAGATAGATAGATAGATAGATAGATAGATAGATAGATAGATAGATAAGTAAAGTAAAGTAAAGATTACAATGTTATTGACAATACATTTTAATACAGACATCTAATGTAATGCACTTTACTGCTGGAAAACACACAAGGAAGGAATTTTGAAAGCGGGAGCTGTACAGAATGCAAAGTATTTTTCTGAAATGATGAAATTTCAGCCACGAATAAAGTCAAATGTATAGCTGTGTGATGTAAATTCATGTAAATAGTTTTTGACACATTATCACATGCTTCGGTTTATCTTGCATTGTGTTAAATTATTCAAATGTATTTACATGTTAATGCTGACAGCCCTGATACAACTATTTGAGTCATCAAATTTAGAGAGAATTATTTAATTTTGCCTCAATTTGCTTCAATTTGCTTGTTAAAAGGGTTGTGAATTGAAAAATATTTAAATTAGCTTGATCATCTTATGACATATAAGAGGTCATTGTACTATAAAATCATTCAGTAACACCTTCTCTGTAGTCATACTGAAACCTGTCAAAACGACAGGTTGTGAAATGAGAAATTTTGTCATGTAATAATGTGGTTAAACTAAAAAAGAACAATGCCTGCGTTGACATCCCTTCCTGTTTATTACTAGAAAAACACAGTCTAAGCAGCCTATTCTAAATGATGCTTTTTGATGTACAGTTGATGTAAGTAGTTTTTTCTTTTTTAATATTTCCCAAATGATGTTTAACAGAGCAAGGAAATTTTCACAGTATGTCTGATAATATTGTTTCCTCTGGAGAAAGTCTTATTTGTTTTATTTCAGCTAGAATAAAAGCAGTTTTTAATTTTTAAAACACTATTTGAAGGTCAATATTATTAGCCCATCTAAGCTACATTTTTTCGATAGTCTACAGAACAAACCATCGTTATACAATAACTTGCTTAATTACCCTAACCTATCTAGTTAACCTGATTAACCTAGTTAAGCATTTTGGCTGTATAGAAGTGTCTTGAAAAATATCTAGTCAAATATTATTTACTGTCATCATAGGAAAGATAAAATAAATCAGTTATTAGAAATGAGTGACTAAAACTTTTATGTTTAGAAATTTAATGAAAAAATCTTCTCTCCATTAAACAGAAATTGAGAAAAATAAACAGGGGGCTAATAATTCAGGGAGTTTATTAATTCTGACTTCAACTGTAAAAATCTTGATAACATTACAAGCAGTGTTGGAGGTAACGCATTACAAATAATGCGAGTTACGTCATAATGGTACTTCTTAAGTAACGAGTAAAGTACCTCATTAAATTAAAAAAACAGGTAAAAACATTTAAGTTACTTTTTTTGAAAATATAACGCGAGGTACTTTTTTTAAAATCAAACTATTAGCTTTTAAAAAATAAACTGCTGGATTAAAATTAAATTAGTTGCGATTAATCATGCAGTTATTGGAATATTAATTCTATGCGTGTTCAATAAAAAAGGTCAGGAGAGGTTTTTCTTCAATGTCAAACATATTAGTAATTTATTGGATAAAAATTAAGAATTCGGTTTACATAATTCTGGTATCCCCAATGCAATGCAAAATTCTGACTTCAACTTATATAGGCAGCTGATATTAACAGGTGGAGTTTAGTGAAATTCGTCACTTGTTAATTATTCTCCAGTCCTCCACTGGCCGCACCCATACATACATCCTCTTTTCTATGAATTCTCTGCACAACATTAAAAGCCTAAGACTTTCTCAAATAGCACATATTCTGTGTTCAGTTTTAACACCTTTCTGCTGACAGGAAGTTTAGCTGCATTTCTATCAACTTCTGCAAAATTGCTTCATTAGTATGCAAATCATATCACACTCAACATAAGCTCAGTTAATATTTCACCTCTAAGCAATACAAATAAAATTGTTTAATGAAAAGAAAAAGAGACAAAAATATGTAAAAAAAAAATTCCTTTGTAATTCCTTTTTCCCAACACAGTCAACAAAAGAATAAGTTTATTATTTTAAATGTAACTAAGAAAGGAAATGGGGATTGTCTCAATGCGCAGTGATTTTACTTAAGACAAATAGTACAAAAGTACCAAACACATTGCTTTAAATTTACATTTTCAATAATCTGTATATACGGCATAGCTCTGGGGTCAGGAAGTTCTCACATTATATTATCCAAATTTTAATATTTTTTTGTGTACATTTTTTAAAGGTAAATGATTGTAATGTATGTGTAGGATATACAGTGTGTTGTTAACTGCAGAACTCCTCTATTAAAAAAAAGAAAAACGTCCTGAATTCTGAAAGAGATCAAGCCTCCGCCAGGTAATAAAATTTAATGCAAAAGAAATTCAACAGTAGCATAACGCATTAGTTACTATAAAAAGTAATGCAACTAGTTACTTTTTTGGGCAGTAACTCAATATTGTAATGCAACTTGCTAAAGTAACTTTCCCCAACACTGATTATTGGTGGATCACAGAGAACATTACACAATAAACAAAACCGTGTAAGGCAGTTAACTCCTCTTTAAATTCTGTAATTGGTGCAGATTCTCTGCAGAATCATGGGTAACGCAGTTTTTTAAAAATCAGCCACGGTTGTAAAAAAAGTTGAATACAGCAGAGTTCAACAAAAGCATTTCATTCAACAACCTTGAAGTTCACAGGAGCTCTGTCTTTTAAGGTTTAGACTTTGTTGTTCAAAATCAATTCCCCTATTGAGGAATCAACTCCTCCTTGAGAGTTTTTACCTCTGGAATCTGAATGTTGCACTACATTACAAAACATCTTTAGACTAGAATACTTTTAAGACTAGAATACTTTTTTTGTTTCATAACCATGCCAGTATCAGTTATTGAAGTTTTTCAGAAACTGTAATAATACTATGATCCATGGGCCTCAGCATAGAATGCTAGCTGCGTTAGCTTTAGGCTTTTTCTGTAACACAACCAACAACACTTTGTTTGTCAGTTACTGTAGCTTCATCATTAAATCTACCAGCCAGATCAGCACCAAACCAGCCTGGACCAGCGTGGAAATTCATGCTGCGCTAAGGACACACACGAGGGGTGAGAAATGCAAAATGACTTCAGAATGATTAAGTGCTAATGATGTTCATATTGTTCAAAGCTCCTCAGCGCTACAGCTAATGGAGGAAAACACGCAAGATCCACTCAGATGCTTGAGCTGAAGCTGAAGGATTGCGAAAGCGTGTGTGTTTGTGTGCTCAGCAGTGAGCTGGAGGAGAGAGAGCAGCATTTGAGAGATTTGGTTTGTGTGTGGCTTTGAGATTATCTGCAGAAATATGTGTGTGTACGGCTAAGACGAGTTGAAAGAGAGAGAGAGCGGATGTGCGTGTGTGTTTATTCATTTGTGTGTGTGTGTGTGTGTGTGTGTGTGAGAACAGTTGAATGAGTTTGGAGTTGGGCTGAGAGGGAGAGAATGTGTCTGAACTGCTGAAGCCGTCTCCTCCTCTGAACTGCCATTAAAGAGAAGATAGGATGCCTTCAAAGCGCCTCTCTCGAAAAGAGAGTGAATTTTAGATGCTGATGCATTTCCCTGAAGGAGAGAAAGAAAGTAAGAGACAGAGGAGAGGAGGGAGACACAGGAACATGCTGTGCTGTTTATGTAAAGAAACCCCACAGCACATTAAAGGGATGGTTTACCCAAAAATGAAAGTCCTGTCATCATTTGCTCAACCTGTAGGACTTCCGTAGGTTCATGGGATCAGTACTGGAGCAAGCTGAACTGGCACTCTAATAGTCACCCCCATACCATCCCCAGCAGGATGCTGTGGATACATTGCCCATGGATAAATCTGTCACTGTATGGGACAAACTAAAAGGTGCAATCCTGGAGAATTTCAAAGCTGCTCTTTGCCGTTGATCCAAAATAGCTACAGTAAGTGATAAGTGGCTAAAATATGAATATATTATATGCAAGTTTACTATTAATTTTGTTTTACTTGATATTTCTTTAAAGAAATTAAATAAACTTTTATTCAATTAAAACATTAAATTGATAACAATAACAAAAGCTTTTATAATGCAACACAACAGATAAATTCCTTAGTAGTTTTTATTTAGCAATATTTGTGTTAAATTTATACATTTGTTTACATTTTAAAGGTGAAGTGCTTTGAAATGTGCATTTTATTCAATGTTTGAAGTAATCTTAACCAAAACATGAAGAGGAGGTGGGACATAGTGTAGCTCCTCCCTCTTTTTAAAAAACAACAACCAATAGTGTTTTGTTTTTATTCACAGCTCTGCCAGTGAGAGGTTGAGCTCAAGCAAAGAGCTTAGAATGACCAAGAGGCGACACTCAATAGAACATTCCATTTCAACAGCAGCGCCCAGCAACAGCCCCGGATTCCGCCATTTTGGAGTGAAAGCGATCGGCTGCCTCTTGAATCTTATTGCTGATGCGATGGCAAGCAGCTGCTTTATTTTTTATTTATTTATTTAAAAAGTGCATTAAAGCTGAGAAACAACCTGAAAGACGACGATACAACACTTACTATGACAATCACTTTTAATAGTTTATTTTACAGACTTATAATGTGCTGTTGTTCTACTGGACTTTTCATTCCAAAATGGCCGCTGCGCCATCTAGTGGCTGTTTCCCAAATTGCACTAGAGTGTCGCCTCTTGGTGATTTTATGCTCTTTGGCTCAAGTGCATCAACTGAAAAGCAAATAAAAAGCATCTCGAAGGGGGCGGAACATGTCAGATACTAGAGAGCATTTGATTGGTCATGATTTGATGAGAAACTGAAGTATGAGGTGATATAAAACCATTGATTCATGTAGTGACAAACTACAAGCTTTATGTGTTTATGTCAGTTTTATATCATCTAAACGTGAATTTTGTCATGGTTTTAGAGCAGACTAGCTTATAGATATCTCAAACACTATTAATATTAAGACTAACATCTAGAAAACTTTATTTTTATTTTATGGGACCTTTAGCAGCACCACCTTATTTGTCTGATCACCTCCATGTCACCACTCATTCCCGCTCCCTAGACCCACCTTTCTGTTTCCCTCTGCCTGTCTCAGTACAATGGAATTCTCTTCCTCCTGAAATCCGCAACATCGACTCTCCCTCTGTTCAAATCCAGACTTAAAACTGATCGTTCCAAATAACTTACTCTTTAACTGCATACTACACTCTATATTATGTGTTTGTATTTTATCATCTGCTCTATTTTTATACTGTCAATTTATTTTTTAATTATTTAGTTGTGTATACAGGATGTTCATTCATTTATTTATTTTCTTTTCGGCTTAGTCCTTTAATTAATTAGGGGTCACCACAGCGGAATGAACCGCCAACTTATCCAGCATATGTTTTACGCAGCAGATGCCCTTCCAGCTGCAACCCATCACTGGGAAACATCCATACCCTCTCATTCACACACATACACTACGGCCAATTTAGCTTACCCAATTCACCTATAGCGCATGTCTTTGGGCTTGTGGGGGAGACCGGAGCACCTGGAGGAAACCCACGTGAACACAAGGACAACATGCAAACACCACACAGAAATGACCCAGCCGAGGCACGAACCAGCGACCTTCGCGCTGTGAGTCCCACTGTGACGCCCTATAATGTATTATTATTATTATCATTAATATTATTATTATTATTAACACTCTTAAAATGATCTTGATCTTTTGACATACTGTACTAACTCTAAAACATTCAGCAAGTTTTCAGAGCTTAATACTTTGTTTTTAGTCTAAAAACAGCTTATATTGAAGCCAGTTTGTCAAAATGACAGGTTGTGGAATGAGAAATTTTATTATGTAATAGTGCGGCTAAACTAAAGACGAACGCCTGCTTCTAAATCACTTCCTGTTTATGCCGTGGCATCGGCCGCATCTGTAAATAACCACGATCAAGTCTGGAGGTTTTGATGCCAGAAGATAGACTTCACTGTCAGAGACACTCCAGAGAGGCCCACGAGAGAATCTGATATGTCTGAGATCTGCACACTCTTTATACAGTGTTTCAGACTTGTCGTTTGTTTAGCGAGTTTACATGCATTTGTCTCTCTATAGAGCTCATTCTTGCAGTGTTTACATACATAGTCATGATGTTACATCAACTTGATTACATATTACCCATTCTCCTACAGGCCTCTCATACATACAGCTTCTCCTCATAGGTGTATTTACATATATGGTCGTTCTCCAGCAGGCTCCTCATGGGGCTTACATCTTACAAATTCCTCTGCAGGCTCGTCTCACATACAAGAAACATATAATCTAATAGAAGATACACACATGAATGACTATATTATGACTAATGACGACTAATATGACTATGTTCACATTGATTACACATGTTTACTTCACACTTTAATGAATAAAACATTTACATTTATCACTGAAAAACACAGTCTAGGTTTGCTTACTCTATATCATACATTTAATGCTCTTTTTAAAAAGTTTAAACTCTATATTGATAAAAATATTATTGTTTATTAAAAAAAATCAGTTTCAAAGAAGATTCCTGAAAAACAATGTATTTTAATTCCCATCAAACAATTAAGCTGCTGTTATTTATATTGATAAGATAATACTAATATTATATATAGTATGCTACTTTAGATAGTCATAAGGGATGTCCGGAAATCGGCCCCGATCACATGGTTTCAGACTCAATCGGAATCAGAGGTTATCTCCCGATCAGGGCTCGAATGTATTTGTAAATGCCGGCAAAGTAGAACACAGAAGCGAGTCAATAAAGCATCGTTTTTGTGACACTGTATAACAATAATTTATATTTTACAGGGGGACCTTTAGCAGCACCACCTTATTTGTCTGACTGTGATGGTTGGGTTTAGGGTTGGGGTACGGGTAAACATAAAAAAAAAAATTGGGTAATTTAATAAATACAGGTAAAACTACACTGTAAAACCCATCAGTTAACTTTATCAAATGAAATGAATGTAGTTAACTAAAAAATCGACTGAAAGTTAATTCTACTCATTTGAAAAGAGTTTTAAACTCAGTGTTGAAGGTAATGAGTTAGTTAAATTCCTCATTACTTCAACTAAAATGGAGTAAGTTCACAACACTCATATAGATTAGTTTTTTTTTTTTACTTAAATGGTTTGTAGCAATTGGTTTCCTCAAACTGGTTGAGTTACCTTAACTTATTGAGTTTTACAGTACTCAGCTGGTTTGAGTTCTCTTCATTTATTGGGTTTTACCGTGCTCAAATTGCTTCATTTACTTAAATGAAGTAAGTTCCCAGTACTCATTAGGATTCATTTTTTAACTTAAATTGTTTGTTGCAATCAGTTTCCTCAAAAGGTTTGAGTTACCTTAACTTTTCGGGTTTTACAGTGTACTGTTTATATATTGCTGTGAAGATTGGGTTTAGGGTTGATAAATAATTAATAGGAAATTTTATGAATAGTAAAAATAATTCTCGTTTTTTTTTCATGTCATGATCTAGCAACAACCTGAGTATGTCTGCGGTCTGGAGGTATAAAAAAGTTGATGACGACTACATTGCAATAGCAAACTGTTTGATAAGTAAACTAGGTATTGCAAGAGGTAAAGAATTGATGTTATTTAATTTTTGATTGTTTAAGCTACCTCACAGATGTGCTCTGTTTGTTAACAGAGTTGTTGAATGTTAAAATAAGGTAAATTAAATAAAAAACAAGGAAGATCCTGGGTCTGTTTCTTAGTTTTTTATTTTTATAGAAGTATCGAATCAGGTTTTGGTATCGGTAGACACTCAACATCAAGTGACTCGGACTCAGGGGCAAAAAACCTGATCGGGACATCCCTAATCATCAAGCTAGTATGGTGTTATGAAAACTGATGTTGTGAAAATTCAGCTTTGCCATCACAAGACTAGATTACATATTAAAAGATTATTTTACCAAAAATAATAATAATAATAATAATAATAATAATAATAATAATCTCCCCGTGTAATGTGGATTTCCTCTGGGTGCTCCAGTTTCCACCACAGTTCAAAGACATGTGGTATAGGTGAATTCATTATTCTGGAATAGTTGGCGGTTCATTATGCTGTGGTGACCCCTGATGAATAAGGGACTAAGCCAGAGAAAAATAAATAAATGAACGAACGAACAAACGAAAAAATAAGAGCAATCTCATATATTAATGCAATCGCTTCATCTGTGCTATTTGTGACCACTTTGACCAGATATAAAACCTAATTTAATTGACATAATAATAAGGAATGCATGACTATTTTGTGTTAGGGGGGTCTAAATATATTTAGTTATAAAATATGGATATTTGCCTGAAATAGAGCAGCCTTAACATTCTTCAAAACATCTTGTGCTTTATGAAAGAGAGAAAGTCAAAGAAGCGTCGCAAGAGCGAGGGAATGACAAAGCTTCATTACGAGTGTAGCGTTCCTTTAAATGAGAAGCAGCTGGTGTGACTCAGTCGGTTGAGTTCATGTGTGTTATGGTTGAATGTGTACCTCGTTTCCCAATCTGCACGTTGGCTTGTCGTCTCCCATTGCCGTTTTCCGCATAGCAGGAATAATTACCCAGATCGACCTCCTCCAGTGAATCTATGGTCAGAGTAATGGACACTTCCTGCTCACCCAGGTGTTCCCTGACGGTCCTGGTGGAGAGAGCAAAAACAATGAGCCATTGTTCAGCGACGGCTGTGGAATAAAAGTTTTTTAATTAGCCCCTTCTGACAGAGGATTTTGGGGATGAATTTTAGACTGAGCAGCTTGTGGAGATTACAGTTTTTGGGAGGAAGGGTTGGCGCTCAACAAACGAGGATCTCATTTAATTATAACAAAACATTGGCTCACTTGTTTGTCCTGGCTGAATCATTTGAAACTGAAATTTCATTTAAAAGATGCTGACATCGCTGCTCCTTAACTGCATGTAAATGCAAATGCATTCTGCGCATGGTGTGCGATACATTTGGCTGTGTTATTAGGATGTATTCAGCACTGCTCTGATCCAGCTCTCTTTCAGACAGGGGAATTAATAATAGTGTGTCATCACAGCGACCACCCCTGCTAGATATAAATAGGCTCATATACAAGCCTGTGATATCAGTAATTGAAAATGTACTGTCGACATCTCGGTGAACACTTAAAGTGCGCTTTGCGGTGCACTATCTATCGTATTGAATGAGGGATTTCACAGGAGCAGCTACTTTTAAAAGCAACTGTTTCTTCTGTTTCCATTAAAAAACACTGCCATGGTATAGAAACAGTAATACCTTTGAACTCTGATGTATGCCATAATGCGGAATGATAAACTATTTTAATATAGTATTTATTTACAAGAAATCCCAGAGCATGGCTAAAATGCAGTTTTCTTTCAGCTTAGTCCCTTTATTTATCAGGGGTTGCCACAGCGGAATGAACCGTCAACTTATCCAGCATATGCTTTACACAGCGAATACCCTTTCAGCTGCAACCCAGTGCTGGGAAAACACCCATACACTCACATTCACACACATACACTACGGTCAATTTAGTTTCTCCAGTTCACCTACAGTGCATATCTTTGGACTGTGGGAGAAACCGGAGCACCTGGAGGAAACTCGGGAGAACATGCAAACTCAACTCAGAAATGCCAACTGAACCAGCTGCAACTTTAACCAACATCCTTCTTGCTGTGAGGTGACAGTGCTAACCATTGTGCCACCGTGCCGCCCTATTATTAATATATATTTTATGTAATTGTTATGCAATTGTCCTATGTAATATAAAAATGTTAATTGCTGCAGAACTGGTGGTTCATTCCACTGTGGTCTCCCCTGATAAATCAGGCACTAAGCCAAAGAAAAGGTAGTGAGTGAGTTATTGCTGCAGTCTGTTTAATATTTAATTGATTTAACTGATTAAAAAATAGCTTTGAAGTTACGATTCAGTGATTATAAACTTGTTTTATAACTGAATGACTCACCATTTTTGAATGAATGTCTTGATTAAATCATTCAACCTAATTTTTAACCTGTACTTGTTGCCACCTACTGGTGTAACCATGTAATTTATATAATGTTATAAAAAAATGTTAAAACCATTTTATATTTAATTTTTAATGCCTGCCAGGTACAGTAAAGGCTGATTTATACTTCTGCGTTGAGTGATCGCTGTGACCCACGGCGCCTGCGCTTCGCGTAGCCGTGCATTTGTACTTCTGCATACTGTTTGTGTTGCTCTGCAATAACACTTCCAAAATGCTAGCTAGCAGTAGGTTTTATGTTCCTCTGTGTCAAGTTTCTTCACAGGTATTTTGTTTTTTTTCTGAACGATACAAGTAGTTAAAACTCGCTCGTTCAGAGGCGGGAACCGGCGGATGTGCAACAACTTTAATCATAAAGATAAACACAAAACAACAGTTTTCATCTGGAGCTCCTTCATGGGACTCGACACTTGTAAGCAATCGCTCCATCTGGCTTGCGGCTCACAGCTCACGCTAATCACCTGTACCAAGCTGACCAATCACAGAGCTTGCGCAACACATTGTTGGGACATGTGGTTATATTATTTGAGAGGTGTAGGTGTCGTCTTAAGCCACAGTGTGGGCTATGCAGCCATGTGAAGGCTGTGCCAGACCACACGTGCGCAGAAGTATAAATCAGCCTTAAGTACCTGCCATAAGACTGCAATTGTTGTTTTGTCCTGCATATGCTTACAGATAAAAATATGCATTATTAGAACCGTTTTCAAAGGTTTCATTTTTAGATTGTTGCATATGCACTAATATATATAATTATTTTGTATTAATTGCAAATATTTTAAAAAATCAGCATTAGTGAACAAATCTCTTTACCAATTGCTTTTTAAACTGGTGTACACATAATTTATATAATCTTCATTTAAAGTTATGATATTTTGAAGCTTTGATATGAGCTTTGAGCGGCACGGTGACTCAGTGGTTAGCACTGTTGCCTCACAACAAGAAAGGTCACTGGTTCGAGTTCCGGCTGGGCCAGTTGGTATTTCTGTGTGGAGTTTGCATGTTCTCCCTGTGTTCCTGTGGGTTATCTGCACGAATGAGTGAGTATGGGTGTTTCCCAGTACTGGGTTGCAGCTGGTTAGGCATCTGCTGTGTAAAACATGCTGGAATAGTTGGTGGTTCATTCCGCTGTGGCGATAAATCAGGGACTAAGCCAAAGGAAATTGGATGAAATGAATGAATGATATGATCTTCACTTAAAGCAAGTTATTTTCAAAATGTACAAAATAAAACATTTTATCCCAATACTTCTGAGAGAATTTGACTTTTTGTAACAGATAAAATAATATAACATAGTTTCAGAAAAGCAGAAAGACAGTTTTATAACAACACATCAGCTATTTTCTTTCTGTAGCAACTTTTGTTTAGCCTCCATTGTGTTCTGTCTTACTTGATTTCACTCTCTCGAATGCGGCTCTGGTCCATATCCTCAATGAACTTCTCTCCTTTCATCCAGTAAACAAGTGGACTGATGTCCCCACTGTACCCGAAGAAGGCTCTGCACGTCAGATTCAGCATGCTTCCTGTAGAGGGAAGGGAGGTTTGTGATTACACATTGATACTTTCTTCTGTTTGGCTCCTGTAGTTTTCCCTGCCCAGGGCTTGTTTCTCTCTGTAAGAAAGCAGTGGGCATGTACTGTGATTGTGAAACCAGAGACAATTGCTATGCACTGGCCACTAGGGGGTCTCCATGTAATCAATGGCAGCTGACAAGCTCACAATGGTGTATTGTAGGTTAATGAGACTCACCAGTGAGCTTGAAAAGAGGAATCATAATCATGGAGGTTTTTCTTGACAATACAATACAGTAGCATGCTATTTCCTCCAGAGAGCAAATAAAACACACTTTATTCTCAGTTCTTAGAATTGAATTTATGTATTATTTCTCTGTAATGCACTTAAAGGCATAATGAAAATTCAGTTTTACAGCCCTGTGCGCATTTTTTCTTCTAAGGAACACAAAAGAAGCATTAAATTAAGACTGTTGCAATCAAACATTTTTAGTCCCCATTTTTGAGCCCAGATTAAAAAAGTAACGTAACACATTAGCAAGTACCACATTTAGTTAGTTAATTAATGCATAACACTGAATTGTAATATATTATTAAATTATATAAATATTGTAATTTAAAAAGGCAGCAAAACAGAAGTGAGTGCTTAAATAACCAGAATTATACCGTGTGAGGATGCTAATATAGTCATCTTTATAGGTATTATACTTGGTGTAAAAGTTAAACATCTTGGGTGAAATATCCCTTTAAAGAGCCCCTATTATTTACATTTACATTTAGTCATTTAGCAGACGCTTTTATCCAAAGCGACTTACAAATGAGGACAAGGAAGCAATTTACACAACTAAGAGCAACAATGAATAAGTACTAAAGGCAAGTTTCAGGTCTGTAAAGTCTAAGAAGGGAAGTGTTGGTAGTTTTTTTTTTTTTTGTACAGTTAGTGTGATATTCAAAGAGGCAATTGCAGATTAGGAAGTGAAGTGGAGACTAAATAGTTGAGTTTTTAGTCGTTTCTTGAAAATAGCGAGTGACTCTGCTGTTCTGATGCAGTTAGGGAGTTCATTCCACCAACTGGGCAGATTGAGCGTGAGCGTTTGCGAAAGTGATTTTTTCCCTCTTTGGGATGGAACCACGAGGCGACGTTCATTCACAGAACGCAAGTTTCTATTATGTGCTTTTGAAAATGACACAGCACTAAGTGAATGAAAACATGCAGCTTAAATCTGGATGGGTTAAATCTCAAAATGCACTATGTTTAAAACTATTAATTATTTTACGAAATAGTTGTGAATGATTCATTATTTGGCCAGATCTTTTGCCTGTTCATATCAACGTGGACATGAAACAATACCAACTATGAACTACTGGATTCAGTAAAACGTGAACGTGCCTTTCCCTTTAGCGATGTGCGAGGGATCATGAGATTGACCATCACACAAAGATTACCGTCACTGAGAAATGGCCAGACATGCACAGGGTTTCTACAGGTTCCATAAAATGTAAGACTTTTTAAGGCCTTTAAAAACCTTTTTAAGACCATTTTAAGACCATAATGAATGAAATTTCAGACTTACACCTAAATCCTAAAGATGTTTTTTATTGGCCAATTTAAAACTTAAAAAAGATGAAAAACAAATGTTATTGTAAGGAAGTTAATTAAACCATATTATTAAGTAAACAAAATTTATAAAAAAAAATTCTTAATTTTTATTGAAATATTTTGTTAGTGATTGGATGGGTGTTAGCCCACTTGGGTATAGCTTTACATAGACATAGGGAAATTAAGACCCATTTAAAATGATTTAAGACCTACAACACAACATTTCAGAGGATTTAAAACTTTTTAAGGCGTAAAATTTGGTTTTGGAAATGTAAGATATTTTAAGACTTTTTAAGACCCTGCAGATACCCTGCATGCAGGGAATAAAGGGTTTAAGTTAATTTTCACAACAACACCACAGGATAACCAACCGTGTGCTGTTTGTTCCTGTCATTTTTCTGATGATTGATACAATAACCTACCCTGCAGCGCGGGATTTGCCGGCTGTTTATTATTAAAGGAGGGAGCATCAGGGACTATTACGTATGGGACTTCGTCAGCAAATGTTACAGTTTGTATGGACCAGTTTGTTCTTCCTCCACAATGTGAAGTGTGATTAAAATGGTTGCCTCTTTTTCTGTAGTTTGCAAAACATGTATTTAATTGTGTGCTGTAACTTGTAATCGCTCCGTGCAGCATGTAATCACAGATCTGTTGTAGATCACTGCTTGTAATGTATCTCTCAGGTGAAATGTGTGGGCTATTTCACATATCAGGTACAAAAATCACGTTGAAAACGCAACACATGCTTGTTCCTTTAGCGATTTAAATGCATTTCTGAACTCGCAATCCTCTGCCGTTTGTCTTTGCTATGGCCACCATCAGCTGCTCCTACACATGTGCAGCGTGGTTAATTTTCAAAATAGTTCAACTTTTGCCACTGTGTAGATTATTACTGAATATGTGTCCTTGTTATTACTTGGGGTTGTGGTTAAGAATAAAGGAATATGCTGGTGTTTTACTGCATTGCTTCAATGCATTCCTGCATTAGGCTCACACATATACTCCGTGCTACCACTACTTCTTGGTTGTTTCTCTTTGTCTTGCGCTGAATGCTGTCGACCAATCACAACAGACTGGGTCATCGAACCAATTAGCGCAGACTAGCATCGTGCTAAGGAGGGGTTTGGGAACAAATGAATCAATGAACAAATCATATGAGAGTTGTTGGGATAATTAGGCAAAAATAAAGGCATATTATAAGACAATGAACGTGTTTTTTGACCTTGTGTGCATATCAGCCTGTTGTTGGAGACCCCCAAAACCAAAATATGACCTTTTATAATGCATAAGAGCTCTTTAAAGTATTCATAGAAATTATTAATAATTAATTATTAACAAATAGTATTAATATTATATTAATGAATAGTTTTATATTATTTTAAGCCAGTTTAAACACTACACTCAGTTAAATACAGTAGGTAACAGTTTATTTCTCTATCTATTTATCCATCCTTGGTTTAAAAACGAAAAAGAGCTCAATTTTAAAGTATTTATATGGTGTACAAATGACTGATGTACACTATTTCCTCCAGATAGCATATCAAATGTAGTTATTCCCCTTTTACTTTGAATTGAGTTTCTTTAAGATTACTTTGAGATGCTCTCAAAGCATCAAGATCAGTGAAATCTATACTTTTAAAGCAAGGACTTTCGACAGGGGGTTTGTGCACCCTAAGGGAGCGGGCAATTATTGTTTGATCTTAACCTAATTTTCGTGAGAGGAAAAAAAGCATTTAAAATTATAATGCAAGTACAATCTCTAAAAACTGTTTTTTATGTCAGTGTATAAACATGTTTATGGTAGGTGGTTTGAAGTGCTGCATGCTGCTGCTTTCGTCGGTTACGGTTGAGGTGGTATTTCAGCCTTAATGTTGTGATGTTTGTCAGTTGTTTGACGTTAATTAGGCATGTCTTTAGACTACCAACGAATAAGGCCCAGCACCAGGAAAGATCTTGCTTCGGGCCCCCAAACAAACCAGAAATAGCGTCTGTCTCTCACCAGGATGTGAAATACATGTGGAGCATCTGATCAAAGAGATACTGAGACCACGAATGTGTAAAAAACAGAGCCATACATGCAACAATGACATCAGCACACGGAAATGTATCTGATATGGGAGTTTGATGCATTGTTGACATATAATAATAAACACAAATTACATTTATGCAACGTTATTGTTTAGACATTCACAGTTTAAGACCTTTATACCAATTACATTTACATTTAGCGATCATTTAGCAGACGCTTTTATCCGAAGCGACTTTCAAACAAGGCAAAGCGCAGGCTATTTATCATACAGGAGCCAGCGACATTAGCAGCGCCGCAATACTGAATTTCGAGAGTAAACAAAAGCTGGAGCTGAAGTGTAACTGCGGAAGAGGAGAGGAGAGGGAAAGATTTGAATGTGAATTTGATTAGAATGTCAGTAGAGCAAGACCGAGAGGGGTGAAACGTAGGCCTTCTGTGGTCAGTTAAAGAGAAAATACATTAATATCTTCTTTAATTGTGCCTGGGCTTACTTGAGCAAGTTTGAAGGCTGGCCAATACAGCATTGCAGTAGTGCAGCCTGAGATGACAGGATCCCTTAATATAGGAGCAGCTATTTTGACTATGAGACTGTGTAAAATGTACAACACTGTACTTTACTGTATATACTGTATATACTGTATATATATATATATATATATATATATATATATATATATACATATATATATATATATACATTACAAGTCACACGCACACACACACACACACACACACACACACACACACACACACACACACACACACACACACACACACACACACACAAACACATACACACACACACACACACACACACAACAGTTCTGTCTGGTTCTTGAATCTGATTGGCTGATAGCCGTGATAGCTTGTGTATTACTCCAACCACATACAGCGACAAGCAGAGGACACTCTACAGTTTGACAAACATTGCAACTGTTGGACAACATAATTTACTTTTGGTCAATAATGCAGTTTTTTTGGTCAAGGCTTTTTTGGTCAATAATGCAGTTATTTAGATTGCAATTGTGCAGTTTATTTATAAGGATATTGCCTATTTTAAAATATTTTAAAATATTGGAGCATCGGATTCAGTGCCTTAGTCGTCATCAGCCTGTCTGAGCAGACCAAAAAAAGTGATTGTTGACGTTCCACCACAAGATGATGGCAGAGACAGCAGGGAGAAAAACAGCATTTTTTCAGTGTAAACTTCAAACTACAGCAGAACAACTGAGTATAAATCAGGTAAGTGACATTCTAAGTCGATCTCTCTCTTTTGTATTTTGTAGTGCTGTATTTATACCACAGAAACTGGTAGTGTTTGCTTTGCCCTGTTTTTTTCGAAGTTAATTATTGTGAAATCCCGATTGCAACAGAGAAATA